TTCTTAGAAGCCAGTCATATAGCCCCAAAGATGTCATCCTCTTCCTCTCCACTGCCTCCAACCCCATCGTTCTCCTCGCTCCCTCTCCAACCTAGTGGCCCCCGCGGCAATGCATGGGGTCTACATGGCCCTACGGACCAGCTCGGATGCCTCAACCGTCTCACTTCCGAAAACACCATTGAAGCTGCCAAGGAAATAAAATACGGCATTCGAATATCTACCGACTGGGCTTTAGACAAACCCAAAGTTCCCTGTTTTGGACGTGTACAATTTGAACAAAAGATCATACACAAAAGTCCAAGAACTGTCAATGATGACGTGCTGGTATTGAATACACAAAGTAGTAGTCAGTGGGATGGATTTAGACATTTTGGTAGGTTCTTCGGGAAAGAATTTGGGAATTGGCGAATGACTAATTGAAAAATTTATATAGGATATCAAGACGCAAAGGTTTACTTCAATGGGTGCACCCAAGAGGAGATCCACAATTCAACACGAAATGGAATCGACGGCACGTAATCTCGCACAAGGCCCCTATCCACAACGGTTCATCTACTGACAGCCTCTGCTTGTAGTCTGGGTAGAGAATGGCGGCATAGTAGGTCGTGGTGTCCTTCTTGACTACGCATACTGGGCCGAGTCCCAAGGTCGTACTGTCAACCCTCTAACAACACTCAAAATACCCCTATCTGAGATCAAAGCTGTGGCCGAAGCTCAAAATGTCACATTCCGTCCAGGTGACATCCTCTTTATTCGTACTGGGTACCTTCGTGCTTGTAAGTCTTTCTCATACTATGATAACATTGATATAGAATCCGAGATTTCCAATAGTCTGGATTTCAACCGAAAAAATCAAATAAGATTTTTTGAGTTTCTAAATTCAATTAGAATAACTTTTGCAGATCGAGATTTTCAACCCAGTCTACAAATCCAGACTATTGGACACTGATCCTCAGTTTTATTTCTATTTTTCAGAATACTAACGGTTCTCCGGCCTCATTAAGTTGAAGCTCTGTCTTCTTCTGAAGCGGCTACCTTTGCCACCGCTTCCAAAATGACAACAATAGGCCTTGAGGCCTGCCCTGAAGTACTAGAATGGCTATGGAGTCATGAGTTCTCCGCTGCTGCTGGAGACCAACCCGCTCTAGAATCTCTTCCTTTTGACCTTACAAACCAACACTGGATGCACGAATGGCTCCTTGCTGGGTGGGGAATGCCAATTGGAGAGCTATTTGATTTGGAACGATTGGGAGAGGAGTGTAGAAAATTGAAGAAGTGGACGTTCTTTTTCAGCAGCGTACCTTTAAAAGTATGTTTATGAGCTCTCTTTAGCATGATTTATTGCCTTCACTTTAGTGAATCAGATAACCATTTCATTTGTGATGTGTTGGGAATCGACCAAGTTAGGAGTTGCATATCAGTAATCGAAATTCACAATCGATGCCAATGCTAACAAATGATAAGGTACCGGGAGGTGTTGCGAGTCCTCCAAATGGAGTTGCTATTTTGTGAGGCATTACTGTATTCAAAGTAGCAGTAAATGTATTTCCATCTATGGCAACCTGCAAAAGTCATTTGATTTGGTCCTGTTCAGGTGTCGGAATTCTTCCTTGGAACGACTAGCTTGTGATCAACCGTCACCCACAAGATCCTGCAAGAGACAGTACAGCGAAAACAAAAATTATATTGGAAGTAGATAAATAGGTACGGTTGGCATAAAAGCTCGTTCTAAGTCTAATGTATCAAAGAAAAAAAAGGGTATCTGTATTTCGTGAGAGTGATTATAATCTACACTAATAACTTCCAATCATTACACATCATGTATCGCGTTGGGTCGTGCTGCACCCATTGAGAAAAGTCCCCCTCTAACGTGAATGTAACCTATAATAAGATTGTCATGACGGAGAATGTCTTTAGCTTGGAGACACATCAATTGGCTCCGTCACGAACCGAGCCTCCAAAGCATCCCGTACTTCGAATTCCTCGAGTGCGGCCCCAAATCTACAATTATTAGCTCATTCAGACCAGATACAAAGACAAAGAAACAAGCACACATACCCGTAGCATCTGACTTTAGGTAACAGCTCTTCACTCATGCTCTTCAGGTCAATAGCCGTTAATTCTAGAAATCGTGGATGTCCCAGTACCATACCCCATGCCATAACCGGTGTGATCTCTCCATTCAAGTCCAATCTCTTACTCAAATCTAACAAATTAGCTAAATCGCTCTTGCTCAAGTCCCACGTCTTTTGTTTTGGAGGACCCTCATTCATTTCATCTGATTCGTGACTATGATTATGTGGCAGGCAGTGCCCGAAAGGTATATCTAAGTGCATCTCCATATCTGGCTCTGGAGGACAAGTAGCCATTAAAGCATGGCCAGAGAAAAATTCTCCATCAGCATCGCTGGATCGTTCGACTAAGAATTGCATGTGGTCCATACAAGGTCTCTCGAGTCTGATATCAGTATGTTGCCGTTAGCTATTGTCGCGGAGGCGATAAGAACGTGCTGGAGGAATCTTTGCCATACGTTAAAACAAAGTCAATTCCTGCTTGATCATAATCCACACCTTGAACTTGTTGATGTGCCATGCTGCTATCATTTCCATTGTAAAATCGGTGCGCTCCTCCCAATTGAGGTGATCCAGCATCGTAATAGGTACTGTTTGGATTTGAATTCGAAGAGTGGCTCAGAGGTGGAGGACTGAATGATAAAGAGCCTGGCGCATAACTGCCGGCTTGACTCTCACTCGATTTATATCCTAGACTCGGATTATTTGTGAATTCGTCGACTCCTCCGCTGCCATTCCACGATATGCCATGTTGTGCGAGAAGTTGCTTTAATTGTCGATTTTCTTCTGCGAGGGTCTGTTTGCTCTGAGTGACGTTGCTAAAATTTTCTTTCAATCGAAACACTTCTTGCTCCAAGGCTTTGATGTATAATTCCTTGCGCTCTCTGTGAGTTCTAGGAGACGTTAGTAAAGGCCCAAATCCTATTCTTCATACCAGTATACCTCTGAGCTTGTCGATTTAATTCTTGCCTCCTTGTTAAAGCAGGTTTACTGTCGGGTTTGGGTCCCCTTCTTTTCGGTGTCGAGCCGTCGACTGTTCTGAAATTTAGTTTTCAATTGGAATAAGTTGGGATGAATCTTGATAATCATACCCCGCGTAGACTTCTTTTCTGTGAGGCCCTTGAGGAAACTCAAACTTGACGAAAGAGGAGATTTTCCTGCTTCTGATTGCCCACTGGCATAATCGCCTCTGTCTGATTTATTGGCATAATCACAATTTTCGGTTTCCGTGGTAGACATCGTAGCGTAATTTGATAAAGTTGAGGAGAAATCAAAGATATGCCTATCTTATCAGCGTTTGTGTAGATCTCAAGGCGTGCGCGGAGAAGCGATGAAGGGGCAAGGCTGTCGCAAGTTGGTTATTGATTGATTAGCAGCGTGGCATACCTACAGTAACTCGACAATATTCTCTGAACTTGGATGGAACAATGATTGATTATGTTAAACCAACGGTTTCAATCTTTATTCTGGGAAATATCCGCGGGGCAATGGGCATTCGAAAGCCAAGTTCAATGATTGGAATGATCAAAAGGACGGGGCCGACACATATATCTCCGTTATGATGTAGGTAGCTCTATATTGACTTTGCAATGTTTGGTCGACGCGATTAAGTCTCTCTCTTGAATATCATTGAAGGCTTTTGGACTTAAACAAGGTCAGCAATTCAGAAAACAAGTCAAGAATCAAGAACGAATACGCAAACAGCAGCAGCGCACTGGCTCTCGAGACTGGGAAGGTACTAGATGTGTACTAGGTATGCTTACATACTTCGTAGGGACATATGATCTTACCTAGGTAGATCCACTATTAGGAGTTGGACTGTGCTGAAGGTCTAGCCAAGGTGTTCGTATTCTATAAGAAACTTTGGATATCGTGATTAATAAGTAGTGGCTAATTCCGGCCATGTACGTACTCGATGAGTGACGAAGAGGTGTAGTGCCGCGAAGACTCGAGGTTGTATTCGGCAGCAGTTTGACCTCGATGCATATGGTCAGACATCAATATCCGGTAGAGATCATCCAATATATACCGACAGGGCTGACAGTTTAAGGAGGGGTGGGAATGGTTGTGAAAGAGATATAGATATTAAGAGACGCAGATATTTAGGTATCGATAGCAGCCTTGATACACAAGATTGAATTCGTTCTGAACTTTCCAGACACATGAAGTTAACCACCACGGCTGAAAGGGGAGGGAAGCCAGTCGTTCCGGCAAGTGCCACTCCGTTGTCGAAAAATTGGTAACGTTGGTGTGGCGAACACTTCAACACAGCCTGGGCGGGCGTACGGAGTAGTTTTTTAAGCTTCACCTTGCTACAAGTTTGGAAGATGCTCGGTGAGCTCTAAGTTTTGATTGATAATTATATGTGAGGTCTATCATCTACCTCCGGTCACCATAGTCGAAGATACTCACATTATTCAAAAACTATTGCTCGCCCAAGTTTCTGATAAATATCCCTTGTTTTATGTGTAGTCTTGAGTGCTGTGGGTAATGATTCTATCTCCGGCCAAAAATGTAAAGATGCTTACTTTATTCATAAACTACCGTATGAACTGTCCATCGTCCTAATTGAATGGTGGATTGGCAAAGTATCTCCATATATAGTTTACAACATCCCTGGGTCCACGTACTTTAGCAACATCGAATTTATTGTCCCCTCTCGAAGATTTCCATCGGCTCTCACCTCTCACGCGAGCCCCCCCTCCCCCCCCCCAAATCAAATCCCCATAAATGCATCTCATCTACAAGCACTCAAAGCCAAGGTTGTGGAACTGATTTGAGCAACGCTTGGTTATTTATGATGCCCGTGTGCTGAGCTCCATATTTCCATGAGTAAGCAACATATAAGTAATGAATGAGGTTTGAATTTCTCTTGTGATGTGTTGTCTGCCCCTCATTCCTAGTGTGTGAAATTTCAAGACAACCACAATGAGTCTCGATGTTGTATACACGAGCATTCGTGGATTTCTCATTGTGTTACCATGGGCCCTCGAATTGGTCCTCATGGACCTCATAATCTCTTTCCTCTTACCCGTCAGTTATCTTTTCCCTAATTGGGTATACAATGCGTCATCGTTCGTCGCGTTTACAAACTGGAATTGGATACAAGTCATTTTTGAGGTCTTCAATGGAGGCAAGATTACCATTTCTGGCGACACTCTCCCGGAAGACGAAACCGCGATTGTCATTGCAAATCATGTCAGTTGGACCGACTTCTATATGATTCAAGCACTTGCTATCAGAGCTGGCATGCTTGGAAGGTGTAGATGGTTTGCCAAGATTGAATTGCGATGGGTTCCATTACTTGGTTGGGGAATTTGGGGATGGGTATGCCCATGGTTAGTAGAAATTGGCTGAAGGACAAAAAAGAGTTGGATCGAGTTTTTGCAGGAGTCGTAGTAAAAAAATGGCCACAATGTAAGCTATGCGTACTATCTACCTCCCCACTTAAGGTAATTCAGTAGTGCTAACTCATCTATCACCCAGGGCTCATCAGCTTTAGTGAAGCGACACGATATACACCCAAGAAATACGAAGAAGCAAAAACATGGTGTAAACAAAACAATCGACCTCTCCCCAAGCACCTCCTGTATCCGCGAACCAAAGGCTTCGTAACAACAGTGCAGCATCTGCGAAAGGCTAAACACGTCAAAGCCGTTTATGATATGACGATCGCGTATTCACATCATAACAAATGGCATCAAGCCCCAACCATTTGGGAATCTCTCAGTTGCGGTGACCTAAGCGGAAAACGAGGATACAAATTTCATGTTGATGTCAAGCGATTTTTATTGGAGGACTTGCCAGAGACTGACGAAGGATTGGCAAAATGGTTGGAAAGCAGATGGATAGAGAAAGGAGAATACTTGGAAGAAAAGAGGGAAGAATGGTCCAGAGTTGGTAACGGACATAAGCCAATTACGGCATAGTTGTCGCAGCAATGTTTTTGTCTTTTCTCTTGTTTGGGATATCTAGCTGGAGTAGACCAGACGAGCGCATCAGTTGCTTTTTCTCTAGATTGAATTCACTCTAGAGTTCGAGATTACTTGTAATATTTTTGCATGCAAAACAATTGTGGAATATTTGTTAGACAGGATAAGAAGCAACCCTTTGTTCCCGCCAACACTAAGCCTTGAGAATATTTCCCTCAATCTCTGCACGCAAATTGATTTCCCGGACACAAAGAAAAGTGTTTTCAAAATGCTTTCTCAAGACGTTCCATTCCTCAGATTCCAAAGCATTGAGGAGTAGTGCTGCTTATTGTGCACTGAAATTGGAATAATTACAAGTCAACAAAGATATTCATGCTTCGTTCTCAATTCTAGAGGCAATCCTATATTTCCAAATGAATCAATAATGTCTTTCCTCATTTCCAATTCCATCCAATTCACAATCTCGATCTTTTCAAATATCCCAGACATCGTCGATCACAACCTCAAACAGCGTACCGAGATAGTCAATTGATTTGAGCACATTCTCAAGCATTGAATCACCCAAACACAATACTCCATAAACAGTCTCATGTATTGGAAGAAAGACAAAATGCCAACAGGCGCACTTTCAATATCCATCCCCGACACACCCACTATTCCAACAACTACTACAAAACACTCCGCTACTCGCCCAACTTTCTTCCCTACAGTTGCTTGGTGGAGACGTTTTCCAAGGCCAAAATTCCCGAGTCATTATTCCTCGAATTATAACACTCAAGGGTACAGAAACAATACTCATGACGAAAATGGAAGGATGACAATGGAAGAAGGTTTATTGAGCGACGGCGAAAGAGAAGATTCTGATGGGATGATTCCTAGGGTTGGCATACAAAGTGACGCAGGCTCCAGTTATTGGAAAAGAGTCAGTGGCGAAGGGCGGAGGCTGGGAAGGCTGAGGCTTGTAGTGGAGATTTTGGGTGGTGTGGGGGTTGTTGTTGCAGTTATCGGGTTAGTTCTCTTAGTTTTTAGGTAGCAATAGAAGAAATACATATGAGGCTGTGGGATTTGCATTGGAACGTGATTAAATCGATACCCAGCGACGAAGGGTGGTCAGCAGCTGGTTGGGATAGCCAAGGATTGAAACAGATGTCGGAAGGAAAGGAGTAGGACAAGTTGATGAAAATGTATGATTGGAGTAAGACGATGCCGGTGCACATGATCTGTATAGTGGGATGAAATCACATTAAATTCGTTTTTATATGGGAAAGTTCTCGATGCAAATACGGTTAGCATCTCACTGGACAAGTCATTTCCAGGATTAACCTCTCGAAGAAAGTAAAAATGGGATAGAATCAATCTCATCATAAGAGCCTCCTTGGGATCCCATACACGGGCTTTTCAGAGCGAACTATACTTGGACTTTCCTGCCCAATTTTTGTTACTACCACAAAGATCGCCTACTCATTGTTGGCAATAGTTTGACTGAAAAAGCTGATTTCGACCTCGGCGTAGGGTTTTTTTAGAACTCTCACTGCACCATTTCCCGCCTTATCATGTAAGGATTTTTCGTTTGGATATACTAGCCAGTCCTGAAACCTAGATTTGGTTGCCCTCGTAAATCTACATTATTCATTCCATTTCTATTGAACTTGACCCGAATCCCCATGCACCCATATTGCACTCATATCTCTCGGGAGGTAATGACATCTCATTTTGAATATGCTTTCGCCAAAACTTGTGATTCGTTGTTGCATGATACCAACTGGTGAAGGTGTTCTCCGGGAGTGAAAAATGGGGATAGAGGGTTATGATTCCAGTCGAGGTTTTGGTGTATGGCGTAATGTTCCATGTCTGTACTTCGGATAATTATGTATAAAGTGCTTGAGAGAGTAAGATATTGATGGGGACGGTAGAGTAACGGAACCTCACTGTATGGTTCAGAGGATTCGCAGCCCGTGTTTTGTTTTCAATATTGCGAAGCACAAGGGTTCAATGTCGTCGCATTGGTTGCACATTAGCGTGCTTCTTAGTATCAGGAAGTATTCAACAAATCATATCATAAACAGCGGAAATAATTGATACTATGAGCTCGAAGTATATGAACTCCATGGACTGACCGTCTTCCAAGTTTTGTGGTGTGGCTGGAGTTATGCGAACAATGGAAACATTATTTCCTGATACGTATTAGGCTAATCTATTCATCATCCCTCGCTATTTTTAAACGTAGTAAACACCTCGGAATTCTCGACAAAGCTTTGGAATCATTACAGGATAGCCATTTTTCAATATGAAATCGTCCCATCGCCATGCTGCGCATACACAAGATACCAATATCAAGAGCGAATGAGCTTCTGAGGTATGAAACTTTGGAATCATAATAACTTGATGCGATATTCCTCACATAAAGCTGATGTAAAAGAGTAAGATCATCATTAAAATGACCAGGTTATGGAAGCAAGTAACACTATAGAGTAAGTGTGGAAACCATGCAAGTTGTTGGAAATCAGACGAAAATTGCGAGGGTGAAAATGTATTTCAGTGTGATTTGCGTTGATATATTAGATGACAGCTACACGGCCTTCCTTTGACCATTCTTTTCTATCCTCAAACTTAAATTCAACTCTGGATTCTCGTTCATAACCAACATTTAACCCAAGTTGCTACAATTTAAAAGGACGTATCCCGAGACTCTGAATTATTTTCTGTATCTCAAAACATCCTACACAGCTCGCCATCTCAATAATCTCCCCTGTATCTCTCCTATTCCTATTAGGATCAATCCTACAAGAGACTAACATACCCCAGGGTCAACCTTGACCATGTATTTCTTCCAAACTTTTCTCCTTGCTCCCATCGTTCTTGCAGCTTCGATAATCACTCGACATCATTCTCGAGACGCGGCAGCATACTTTCTTGACAATAATCCCAATGGCTCGACCATCGTTGCTATGAGTATATCACGGGAGGATGGAACTCTTTCCCTACCCACTCGAACTTCTACTGGAGGAAAGGGGATGCTCGGTTTAGATGCTCCAGCAGCAAATTCAACCGCAGCCCCTGCACCTGGAGATAGAGGTGTGAATCAAATTCAATACAACATTGAAAAAGATCCTCATACTGACTCTATGATGCAGATACTTTATTCAGTCAGAACTCCATAATTGTATCAGGAGATGTAAGCAAATTCCAAGATATAAGAGAATTGGCTCACAAACTTTAACTGATATCAACTAGAAGCTCTTCACTGTCAACACTGGAAGTAAAACATTGGCTATGTTCTCCATTGACTCAAACGATCACTTACACCCGCGTATGGTTGGTAGACCGGTGGATACTATGGGAGAATTCCCAGTCGCCGTTGCTTATTCGCCAAAACTCAAGACCGGTGAGTCCTGTATACCTCTTGATAGAACCCCTCATCTACAAGGGCCATTTGCTGATTGTTCCTTAGCTTGTGTACTAAATGGCGGTGCCATATCAGGAATATCTTGCTTCTTGGCTCATTATAGCAAAGGGTTATCAGCCATTGGGTCTTTCCGACCCATTACCTTAAATCAGTACGCATCACTCTCCCTCCAATTCTCACTCATCTAATTAAATTACATAGAACGACCCCACCCGTCGGACCTGCCGGGACTGTCTCAGATCTTCTCTTCAACCCTTCTCAAACCACCCTCTTAGCGTCCGTAAAAGGTAACGGGCTTGCTCCAGGCTCATTCATCGCCTATCCCGTCTCCCAAACCGACAATAGCATTTCCAGTATACCTATCATCTCCGAGCCTCCACAAGTCCGCTTGAACTTTGGCATAAGTTTTCTCGGCTCTGACCATCGACTTGCTGTCTCAGATCCTGCGATTGGCGCATTGCTCGTTTCTATTTCGTCATCCTCTATTGTAACGGCAGATGTTCCGATTGCTGTTGCTGGAGAGTCAGCAGTTTGCTGGACAGAATACAACAGGAAAAGGGAAGAGCTTTATCTGATGGACGTAGCAGTTTCTAATATCACAGTAGTAGATGCGAAAACGGGGGCAATCAAAAAGGGGATTCAGCAAGATGATGCGGGGCTGGGGAGTTTGGATGCTAGGCTTGGAGGAGACTTTTTGTACGTGCTGAAGAGTGCGTCGGAGATCGCTGTTATCAAGACATCAGGTGGAAGAACTGTCCAGAGATTCAATTTGACAAATTTGGGAAGTAGACAAGGGTTTGTGGGGTTGGCGACTTGGGGATTTGGTCAAAACTAGGGAGTGGAAAGTAGGAGACCAATTGTTGGGTTAAATCAAAAGACTGTGACTGTTGTCTAATTTATTCTTTAACTTGAGAATTCAATTTTTTTTGGAAATCGGTGGACTGACAGCAAGAAAAGTTTAAAAAGATGGCTTGTATTTGAACTGCTCATTTACCCCTTCATTTGTTCCGCTTAGGTGAAGTGAATCTAAAGCAGCCAGAATTCAAAATGCAGGATATCACTTGAACCCACATTCTAGCCTTGGAATTCATTTTCACTCGAAACTCCATTGAACTGCAGGTTTGATTCTAGATCTATTTTTTGATGGGCTTCAGGTATGCAAGCCGAGGCCAGCACTTCAGAACACACAGACCACTCTGGTTTTCCAGGATAGGCGCTACCATAACACCTTGAATCTTAAGATTACGACTTCCGCAGAAGTTAAAAGAAACAAGGCAAGATTCTTACTGCGATTGACGTTCCCTTCTATTTATTCTATAGATACCTGCAGTTTGTTGAATACAAAGAATGCCTAGAATTGTCAATCGATTCAACGTCTTGGGAATCCGAAAATAGAGCAGCCAATAGTGATCAGTTCAGGGATTCCACGCTACTCCGAACTCTTCCTCCAATGTTTCAAAGTGACATCACGTCTCTCACTCGAAGTTTCGTGTTTGGTGATTTTTTGAAGTAAAAAGCAAAGGAATATGTGATTCGGACTTCGGAAGCAATCATTAAGATTTAAACCGCTTGTATACCACGCGTGTATTCGTACTTGAATTTCCGGGGATTCCGGCAACAATGCCTCCACACAGAGTAAAGAAACTTTCGTATACTCGTTCCTGTTTGTTTACCAACAAGTCCCTTGTCCGTGAGAAAAAATAAACTATGCCGGTAGCTTCAATGGCTCTAACGCCATATAGTAACTACCTTGCTCCAGAACAGATGGAAATGGAAGAGAATGAAAAAAAAAGTGATGAGTCTAACAAATCAACGCGTCCAATTCGTCAAAACTTTGACATCGCCACAGGGTCTAGGATGATGAGTTGGTTGTGTTGGTTGGTTGGTTCGTAAAGGATCTCACGTAGGTATAATTCCTATACGCCTGAAATCGATTCATTCCGAAAGAATTCTGAATCTTCATCTCTCAATACAATACAAGACACTACCATTTGCAACTTTTGCATCACCAAGACCAGGTACCATATTATCTCCTGTGGGGTATACAGATTGTCCACAATTGCCATACCGGTATCTAATCGAACGAACTCTTTCTTTACAAAGCTTCACGGAAAGTTGGGTCTCCTTACACTGACAGCAAGCCACAACCTCGTATTAGACTCGGATTTACGGGTATCAGATGAACTAAACCTAGCAAGTCGATACTATTTGTGGTTGATAGGTTCAATAAGTAGCCGTGGACACCCTTTGGAGATCTTCGCAAATCAATCCAAAGGTCACCTTTTCCCTCACTCTCGTTCATTTAAGCCATACCATACCAGACATTTGAATTCGAACTTCGCATTTTGAAGGTTTTATCTCAGTTGGTAAGTCAATATAGGGTACGCGAGTATGTGCTAGCGACTTATCTATTTTTAATTCCCATTTAACTGTTTGTTTTGGCGGGGTGATTGATAAAACTCCAAGCTTTAAAAACAACAAGAATATCATCAATTTGCTAACAGCCATCTAGATCTACAGTCTTTTCAAAAGATCGCGACATCCTCACGTTATCACGAATATATCATACCTACCTTTCTCGATTTCGCTTCATCGGTTCCATCTTGTAGCAAAATATCAAGTTTCGCAAAAATGCTTCAGACCCTCGTAATTGTTCTCATCTGCATCGTGGCCGTCATTGTTATGATCGGTCTAGCCGCATTGATCAACACGGGAACGAAGAAGACGGGACCCAACATTCCTGTCTAAGATGTATAATCAGGAACAAAACGAAAACAATGTCTTTCAAATAATTCCTCTAAGCCACGACTACTTCAAAGTGAAAACCAACGCTCCCAACCATCTCCTCGTTTCTCCCTTCAGATTTCGATCTCATGGCATGATGGTCATGATCATATGTCATACATCAATCTTATTCGTTCAGCGGCTGTCACGATATTATGTGGGTAACGGGGTGCGAATATGTTTCTAGGGCTCTGGGTTGGTGGAAATAATGGCGTCAATAATGGATATCCGGCGTGCTTTTATGGTCCAATATGAAGATTAAGGAAAGTTGTATCTTCGCTTGCATTTTGGGAGACTGCCGGATGAATTCTTCTGACTCGATGTCGGTTTCTTCTCCAGTGTTGGATATGTACAAATGTTTAGCGGATAGATTGCTACATGGCTGGCAGGCTGGGCGAGTTTGAATCCCAGTATACTTCCTAAGCTCATCGAGCTCCACGATAGTCCCAGGTTCTAACGATTCATCATAAATAATTGATGGGTCTGGGGAGAAGGGCATCAACAGATTATGGAAGCATGTAGGGTGGAGATATCGGGGATCAATTGATAAATGAAGGGATATGCTGTACATGAAGGATAGATTTTCCCATATTACTTCAACCTTTACAATGGAACTGTCTGCTTATTTTCCCCTTTGATGAGCCCATAACAGCCAACTCTTAGAATCCAGTTGCTTGAAAATGTTTGTAACTCCTACTGGTACAAGTGTGCCGATGAGTTTTTTTATTTGTAGCATCGTCGGTTTTATTCATAGAAATATCCAATAAATTGTATTTTGAATCGTCAGCCATCAAAACATCAAAATTCTTAGTCGGATCTATTGTCTGATCATGCAGTGGCCTTATAGATACTGACCTTAAGCCTAAGTGCACTCTGCTTCAACGAGATGCCTGCCATCGGAATAAATCTCCTAGTATCACTTTTGTTGTCATACCCCTTCCTACATTCCTGATTCCATCCATGGGTTCGTACAACTTGACAGATATATGCATAAATCACCTGATTTCACAGGCGTCAAGAATCGTATGACATGAACAAACAAGTGGTCTTATATCCAGCCCATCAATACAAGGCCGCTCATTACAACGTCAATATCTACACTAAGGAAATTATCTCTTCTATCCTATCCATGAACTTATTTCATACGCTTCCTACTATCTTTTTTACAATCATAATTTTTTCACTTTTGAAATACATACTGTCTATTTCCCACCAGTTTCGCTTTAGCATGGCGCAATCACATTCTCAAAGTGGTAAAAAAGTGGCCATAGTAATTGGGTCTGGGTTAGCTGGTTTGGCTGCCTCCTCCCAAATTCTCTCACAAAGTCATGATATCAAAGTTTATCTTCTCGAACAATCGGATCGAACGGGAGGAAATAGCATAAAAGCCTCTTCTGGAATAAATGGTGCAAGAACATCGTTTCAACTTGCATCGAATCCTCCCATTGTAGATAGCGTCGACACGTTTTATAATGATTCGATTAAGTCAGCAGCGGAAGCTATGCGGGGCACTGGTAACGGTGAAGCGGAGAGAAAGGAAAGGGAGCGGTTGATTAGGGTACTAAGTGAGGAGTCCAAGGGAGCTGTTGAGTGGTTGGGTAGTAAGGGCGTGGATCTTAGTGTCATTGCTCAATTGGGAGGACACAGTATTGCTAGGACGCATAGAGGAGGTGGAAAGTCCAAACCACCTGGAGCGGCGATTGTCGGTACTCTTTCAGAGGAATTGAAAGGAAACGACAGGTTTCATCTCAAGACTTCATGCAGGGTAATCAGAGTAATCAAGAGTGATAGAAATGAAGATGTCAGAGGTGTGGAATGCATCTGTGACGATGATAACAAAACACCGAAAGTCGAAGTATTAATAGGCCCTCTGATCTTTGCAACTGGTGGATTTGCAGGCGATGCATATGGAATGTTGGCACGATATCGACCTGATTTATCCGGAATTCCCTCTACCAATGACCAACGTTCCGGGTCTCAAGAACTTCTCTCGGATATTGGAGCCGGACTTATCGATATGGAGAAAGTGCAAATCCATCCTACTGCATTTGTGGATTTGAAAGACATCAACAATCCGACTAAATTTCTAGCAGCGGAAATGTTGAGAGGCGAGGGAGGCGTACTTTTGATGAATGGGAGGAGATTTGTAAATGAATTAGAGGCAAGGAAGATTGTTTCTGGGAAAATAATGGAAGTTGACGAAATTGTAAGGAGTGAGGGACACCCAAGACAGTGGAATGTGAAGCTTGTGATTGATCAGGGGGTGTATGAGAAGGCAAAATCACATGTAGACTTTTATTTGTGGAAGGGTTTGATGAGGAAATGTACTATTGCAGAAGAAAATTTTGGAGAAGATGCCATAAGGGGTTTGCAGAGGTATGCAGACGCCATAGCAAAGAGGTCGAAGGATGAGTTTGGTAGAAAGTCTTTTGGATGCTGGAAATTGAATGAGGTAAAACCCGATTCGGTAATTTACGTAGGAAATGTCACTCCCGCGGTTCATTTTACGATGGGAGGGGTGAAGATTGATGAACAAGCAAGGGTTTTGACTGCAGAAGGAGACGTGATTCGGGGAGTTTGGGCAGCAGGTGAAGTTACAGGAGGAATTCATGGGGACAATAGGTTGGGTGGCAGTTCGTTATTGGAATGTGTTATTTTTGGGAGAAAGGCTGGAGATGGAGTATTGAAATCATTGGAGAGGTCAATAAAAGAGTAGTGACTGAGGATCATATAATTGCCTGTATGTACCGAGAAGACGCGAGCGAGCAGCGGGGTAGTGTTCCAAGTGTGCAGACTGTTGTCTAAGTCCAACATATAGGATTCCGGAAAAACAAAACTCCTTTTAAGCAATAATTTGATTTTGGAGATCGAAACTCTCTTAATTTTTGAATCTCTTTGAAAGTATAGATCTTTTAAACTCAATTGAATTGAATAAAGCCTAAATCAGACTATAGTCCAAGATGTGAGATACGGTACAAATGAAACACCGTTGTGTTTCAACCGGGCCATGAAATTCCATTTCGTATCCAATGAAAGAAGACATGTAGAAATAAAGATAGGGAAAAAATTAACCTAAAGACATTGCGAATAATAAGCATTTGCATAAGTGCACGTATATGGGCTAGCACAAGTTGTACTACCCGTATATCCACTTCCGCCACATTGTCCATAATGCGCAACTCCAGTGGATCCAGGGGAGGTAATGGTAGTTGTTGTACCGGGGCTAGATGGAGTAGTAGTTGGGGACGTACCAGATGAAGCGAGTTGTGCATTTACGAATGTTAAGGCTTGTTGACCATATTCGGTGCCGTAACCTTGATGGGTATTTGCATCAGAACCAGTACAGCAGTACGGATCAGCAGCGTCGCAATAAGACTTTATCTTTGAAGCGGAGGGACAAGAAAAACCAGAGGGACGAGGCGCAAACTAAAATAACTGTTAAGACATTGTTCGCAAATCCTCAAAGATATGAGTGTAGTCACACAAGCAACTTGGAAAGTATGAATTGAAAGACTTACTCCTTGAGCTCTACAGGTACCAACTTCATAGGAAAGGCCATAGATGTAGCGTGGGTTACCCATGAAAATTGCGGCCTTGATCATGTTGACAGCACTGGCTTGGATTGGAATCGTGGTATCCGTGAGCCCATCATTCGTATCTCCACCTCCACAGAACGCATCGTCCATTATTTGGCCACCCTAACTTACAAATCAGTGTCAAATTTCTAGATTTTATTGATGGACAAGAGAAATGACACGGCAAGAAAAGTTGATCTACCTGAGAATATCCCACCAATACCAATTTAGTACTTGGACATTGTGTATGATATGCATTCACTGCAGCTGCGACGGCAGAAACTCCTGCAACAACACTATTACCATAGCTAACTCCACCACACGAAGATTGACCGCCACACGCGGGATAATTGATGGCTTCGGAAGTTGACCCAGAATGAGCGGCAAGGATGAGGTTGACAACTACGCCTGCGGTCCCAAATCCGGCTGGTGCTGTGGTCTCTCTAGCACCAAAGACGTGAATTTCAGGACATGTTGCGCGGGTGTCCAATTCAGAAGGCAGAGCTGAAGCGTAGGCAAGAAGAGATAGAAACACTGCTTTGAGTGTCGTGCTTGAGAACATGCTGAAGATTGGATGAGTGAAAGTGCTAAAAGAAGGCCGTTGTTGATACTATGTAGTAGATGGTGATACTTTGGATGAAAATTCGAAAACTAATGTCAAGTGCGAATATGGATCTATTTAAAGACCAGGAAATTCATTATTATTCTTCGCAATAGCATTGCCTCCTTTCCGCCGATTTATATTACCCATTACATTCAGCTTTTTGACACATAATGATGATCATATAACCATCATGTCATCTCCGCTCCGGGGTTTGTTTTGACAGCCCGAATAAGTTTTCATGTAGATTGCCAAGTCCGTCTTAAGATTTCAGGCTAAGCATTATGCGAACCCAAAACAGTAGAGCAGAAGAGGGGAACGCATAAAGGGAACTTACAGTTCAGACGATCCAAATTAATAAAAGAGAAATTTATGAGTGCTCTTTCAACCACGTAGTGCTAGCAGGTGACTGGGTATTGAGGCTGATATCCGACATGGCAATGCCGAATTTTGGCTAAACTCTTACAGCATGTACCCCAGATCACGATGTTCTGGAGGATATCTTGTCGGTTCTAGATTTTTGTACCCTCGAAACTTGGCGAAAAACGGTAAGCTGACAATATTTAAACATTCCAAAATTGACCACTACCTAGGTGTACAGAGATGAAGAATTGTGGGGTTGATTGGTCGCACTGATTGACTAAACAATATGAAGTTGACGGGAATTAATAGGCATGTGGTTATTCCTGTAAACATGCACTCTTAATATGATTTTGAAAAATATAGGAAGAAATCCCGGCTCAACGGCTAGATGGAATTTTGAAGCAATTCGTGACCAATCTGAGATCTCATGTGAACATCTAGCACAGAAAACTGTTGTTGAGGGTTGTGAAAACGAAAGCAAATCCCTAACTAGAAATCTAGGAAAGGAACAATGTTTTTCTGACGCCTCCTGTGTACTCACTCTACTTGTGGTCGGATCAATTTTAAAATGCCCCAGACATTGGGAAGCTCTGATCCATTGATCCACCGAGTGTGTTTGAGAAAGATTGAATTTCTGAGGGGAATGACAAACAAGTGAAGCTCAATCAGAGAGGAACAAAGACTACTAGGTAGTCTTCTCATATATTTGTAACTCATACTCCATAGGTATTCTTTGAGTACAGCGGTCGTTACAATATGCTTAACCTACCTAATTCAAGTACCGAGATTGAGATCGGCAATACAAAGTTGAAACAGTGACCGTTTATGGTCCATGTGCCATTGAAAGCCTTAATTCTTGAATTCTTCGAGATTTCATAAAGGAGCTCGAGCCCGAATGTAAAGAAATTCTGTACAAAAGTAAACTTCATCCGTGATGATAGACAACAGAGACATCATCCTAATAGATGATGGTGACGACGGAGATATGTATATCGTAATCACGTGAGCGGAGATAGCCAGCCAATTGAATACCAGATTTTCTCGGAAAATGGTGAAAAATTCAGACCTTTAGTGCAGTTGACAATTAAAATATGAAATGAATTTCCCGCTCCACTTTCCTTGAAGTTCCTTCTATTCTTTCAAAAGCATGATATTTCTAAAGCTTCTTGGAGAATTTCTTTTGTCGATAAGAAATTAACATCTTGGGTCCAGTGGTGAATATTTATTGTCATGTCGGATCTCGAACCTGAATTAGAAGCGGAACCGGAGCAAGAACGTCGAAGGAGAAGACCAGCCGTGTATGTTAAAGTCACCCACCGACTTTCTCGTTTGTAATTAAATTTCCGAACTGATATATAAAGGATTGCAGTTCTTGCTCCTTCTGTAGGAGACGCAAAATCAAATGCAATCGAATGCTTCCATGTAGCAATTGTGTGAGATCAAGAACCACATCAAACTGTGTATATGAAAAGTTTCCTAGGCCTTCCCGTGCTCAACATGACGAAAATCGACGGAATTCAAGCCATAAACAGAATTATGACATGTCCAATGAGCCAGCTTCAGAAAGAGAGAGAGGTTTGACACTTGGGGTTCCAACGTATCCGGCACCACCAACATCAAATAATTTAATCCCATTATCACCAACGAATCAATTCATTGCACCAGTCTCAGATGCAACTAGTGATCTTGAATCCATGAGGCAAAGGATTAAAGAACTCGAAGATCAGCTTTCGCTTGCGACCAAATCATCCGTTCCGTCTCCTGCTCTCTCACAACCTGCACCCTCCCCTGTAACATCTGTAGTTTCTAACATCGAGACAAAAACTTCACTGGCTGGAAGCTTTCACATACACAAAGAGTGTCGACCATTTGGCCAAGATCATCCTGCAGTTGTAGCTTATGGCGTTCTACATAAAACCAGACTATTAGGCCAGAGTCACTGGATAAATGCTGTGACTGGGGTAAGACAACTCAATAACCAAGTTAGATTACCAACGATTTATTAAATAACAATCAACAGTACCACGACCTCTTTGAAATAATTGAGCCACATATACAAGAAGGAACGAAGGCCGCCATTGGTCTACATAAATGCAAAACTTTTGGAAAGCTTGTAAAAACTCGGCGAGCACCGTTATGGCCCTCACCACCAACTTGGCCTGATTTACCTTCAAAAGAAACTGCTGACATACTAGTTGATTGTTATCTCCGTACAATTGAAAGCATCTACAGGGTTTTACATATTCCTACCTTCAAGAACAATTATGAAGCAATATGGACATCGACTGGAAAACCTGATACAGAGTTCTTGGTTCAGCTTAAATTGATATTTGCTATTGGTTCTGCTACATTTGATGATCAATTTTCCCTTCGTGCTTCAGCCGTCCGATGGGTCTATGAGGCGCAGACATGGATTTCAGAACCGGAATTTAAGTCAAGATTGACTATCAAATCACTACAAACCGAAATTTTACTTTTGTTTGCTCGAGAAATAACTAACATTGGTGGGAGATTAATTTGGATTTCGGCTGGCTCCTTGTTTAGAAGTGCGGTACACATGGGACTGCACAAAGATCCCACTTATCTTCCAAAGAAGACCATTTTTGCTGCTGAGATGCGACGAAGATTATGGAATACGATATTAGAGTTGATGTTGCAATCAAGTATGGATTCTGGTGGACCTCCTCTCATGTCTCTTACCGACTGGGACACTGAGCCTCCTGCAAACTTCAACGACGACGAACTTCTGAGCACTGATGCTCTACCTCGGCCAGAGAATGAATTTAGTCAAACTTCTCTCGCAATCATACTTCGCAAGACTTTTCCGCTTCGACTGGCCATCGCAAAGTCATTGAACGATTGCAGCACAATCAATACATTTGAGGAAGCTATGAAGCTTGATACAGAGCTAAGATCTTCCTACAAAGCTTTGTGTCAGGATGTACAAGAGTTCAACACAACCAATGAGTCTTTACTCCCTCAATTTGAAATAGAAATGCTGAATATCATAATGCTACGATACCTCTCGTCCCTCCATATTCCATTTTTCGTATCGGCTTTGCAATCTCTTACGTATACGTCTTCTAGGAAGGTAGTTTTGGAGACTTCACTTAAAATTTGGTATATGATACATTCAACCAAGTTAAATAATGAAGCGCAACCACACGAAAAACTTGTCGAAGATAGTCAACAGTATCTTTCACGGCTTGCAATATGTGGCTCAGGATTACTTCGTACCATGGCGACACAAGCCGGGTTCATAATTGCTATGGAAATCAAGACCCAGCTTCAAGAAGAAACAAGCCTAGGACCTATCTCTCTACGCCCAGATCTTCTTGACGCCTTACAAGATGTCAAAACTTGGAATATGAGATGTATTGAAGCTGGGGAGGTTAATATGAAAGGGTACCTGTTCATCTGCTTAGCAATTGCACATATCGATGCTCTCCAACAAAGTCAGGTTGGAGAAGAACTTGCAGCATCAATAGTAAGCGCTGCTGAAAAAGCTGTGGATGAATGTGCAGAAGTACTCGAAAAAATGGCAACTCATGGATTAAATGAGACGGAGAGTTTGAGTAAGATGTCGCTGACCACTCCGACTGAGTTGATGGGGGATTGGGATTTTATGGTAAGTCTAGCCGGGTTATCAAAAAAACTGTAGTGTAGTTACTCATGAACTTTATAGATGACAGATGCTCAGTACAATTTTGGAGATGCGATGGGTTGGGCATTCAATTACGATCACCCTCAAGATATATCAATTTGGTAGTATTTTCTTGAACCAGCATTGGGACTTGTGCTTGGGAACCCAATGAAATGGAAGATAAAATGAACAGAGAATGTTCGTCGAAATATTGGGGTTCAAAGAACCAATTTAAACATTAATGGAAAAATTAAACTTGAGATTGGGTAGTCAAAGAGGCTCAATAACATATTTTCAATCCTTTCATTTGGCTTTGGATTTGATACGAATGATAATCTTACACTCGATTTACGGATTCATTTCTGCTGTGTTTGATGGCTTGTGGCTTGCATACCAAGGTAGACGCCACTCGAAATAAGCATCAGCCGCATCGACGATCACACCTACGAGGTGGGCTTTCTGGTTTTGATATTAAAACTGTAACTAGCGTATAAATCGGCGAAATTTAATGAACGCTAGCAGTCATTGATTAATTTTGATTAATTAAGCTCATCGTGAAATAGGTTTGTGGTAAACCAATGCCTGGTATTTCTGTTAAATACTTATATTTTCAGGCTTTTCACTTCATTCGGAGCAAAGCCAGATGGCTCTAGAACTATTAATCCTTGTTAGCGTTCAGCGAATTTTACGAATGAATACAGTATTAATCATTTCGATCGCAAATCGCTCGAAATCCCACCTCAATGTAAGATGGGAAAATATACAAAGATATCTTAAATGAGGAACAGATTGATTTTACTCATGCAAGAAGATATGCTGCAACAACTGCCTTACCCTAACGAAACCGCGAAAGAAGCAAATGAGCAGACAGAACTTCTCAGATCTTTTCAGAATTTGAGTTTGTTTGGTATCAACACATTGCCATCTTGTTCGCATTGTGTTTGGCAGATTTTAACTTCTAGCATATCTTGTGGGCGAAACCGCAAACAAACAATCCACAGTGGCCGATTAATTAAGCTCACTTTCACTGTAATTCCTAAATCAATAAGTTTCAACATGTATGAAACCACAACTGTCAGTTGTCTAACATATGCGCAGGACCCAAATGCCAAAGGTGCATGTGCTGGCTTGTACCAACAAACATCAAGTTCCATAGAGTCTCTAGCTAATGTAGCATTCGGATCTGCATTGCCAATCGCAACGTCAAATTCAATGCCAACATTAGTTCCAATTGGACCAGGTACCGGTTGGGAAGTGGTCCCAGCTCTACACTTAATGGTGCTACAATTGTTGAATTGACAGTTGGCAATGTACTTCTGGTTTCAAGTGCTATTTCTTCTATCATTGTCTTTCGGCAAAAGTTTCACATGCAACGAAGTCCGAAACTCTGAGGTTTAAAGGGCTTTATATGATACTTGTTGCGCCTTTAATTCCCCCGTCTGCTCCTGGAGCTGGGATCATCACCCGATATGAAAGGCAGAAGACCGTTATTGATTGTGAGCTATGGTCTTTACTCTGTGTTTCATGGATGTAAAGTACAAATGCCCTTTATCGTTTTCCTTTTATTGGCGCCTTGTTTTATACCCAATACGATATGGTCAGTATGTATATACATACATCAACATAGGTGAAAGGAAGAGTAATAAGTTGAGTGAGAATGAGCTGGATGAGGGTTGACTGAGTGAAAGTGTCGGGTAATCGGATGCGATTGTATTGCCTCGTATATCAAGAGTAAGTCAAACATTAGCGGAAGGTATCGAATTCTTGTTGTTCTTTTAGGTCCCAAACTTTCATAATAAGGAGCAATGCCTGAGATAGTCAAAGTTGTCACCTAAGATTTCTACCCCTAAACGATGAAGCAGAGAGCGGAGCTTGACCGATCAGTCAGAACATCCAAAACCACGGCATTCAAGCAGGATATAATTGGTTCGACTCCTGCTGAATTCTAAAAGGCAAAAAGAAAACAAGAACAAATACATACAACAGTAGGGATTCGCTGGTGGTCACCCACCCAACTACTAGTCCACCGATCTGAGGCTTGTGGCTGGCAGAGCGGACGGGATGCCCAATTCTCCTCAGTCTATGGTCGTATGTAAGAGTCAATGCTCGATGTAGACACTTATATAAAAATCTGCTCCGACGAAAAAATATAATGTCTCCTTTTCCTTTGACTGAAACTGTCGAACCTTCTTTAATGATGCCTCATTCTGAGTTTCTAAGAGGTGTTGGAACCAATTAGTTGTCTTCCACCGCATTGCACATATCATCTCTTGTTGCCCCTTAAAAGTTCAATTCAAGCTACAATGCTTGAGGGAATTTCCACTCTTACTTTGATCTGGAAGAAAAGGTCTGCTGCCGCCTCGACAGGAGCATATTGTCATTCGAGCTGTACTGGTTCGTAATGAAATGGTCCGTATCGTGTAACTCTGCTGTTGCCGGTCAGTCTGACCATGGAACTTTGGAATAGGGATTCATGAGTTCTCGTTAACAGCGAGTAGCAGAAGTCTCCTATTAGTGGGAGTACTTCTTGTTCAATAAGCCCTCGAGAGACAAGATCCATTATCGAGAAACAGCGCATATACAAAGAAGTCGGTGAGCTGTCATTTAGAAACTTTTTGGAAAAATGCCTAGGTACTAAAGGTAGACAATGTGTCAAGCACAAGGAATATTGGGTGAAAGCTCGGCAGAAGTAGCGAAAATAATTGAGCACGGGAGCTGTGGACAAGAGATGAATCGTCGAAAATGAGTCATTGAAGTCGCTGGTCCAATGAAGATCACAATCTTTTGGAGAAACAGCTGCTGGCATGATTGAAAATTTGTTTCCATGCCCGAGATGATACCGTAAGATAACAGGAGTGAAGCCTTTCAAGACTCACGATCAACGAAAGCCCAATCTCTGAAGACTGTATGACCGCTGTTGCTCTTGTTTTACTTTCCTATGGCTATCTTCTCGACCCATCGTGCAATATTGCGGATTGTTCGTTTGCGTATCAAAATCAAAGTATTGTCCTCCAGATCCAGTGATCAACCCCCGGTGTTCGAGAGGAGTAAATACGGGATTTAGCCAACACATCGTTCATTTCTCATATGAACCTTCAAGCTGTAGCTCTTTGATACAACTCACAAGACCGATGCAGGGAAAACCTCGAGTGTTACAATCCCAGATCCAATTATCAAGTTTCCTCATCACGAACAGTCTGTTATTTGAAATTTTGATCCCCTTACACATGCGTCGGTGACTTTCCAGTTACACCGAGTCACCGACGTAGATGACATCGAATTAGTACTAAAAACATAACACGAGAGACATTCTTTGTCAGATATTTGGTTCGAATTGAGAAATACGAGAATCTCCTGATCCTTCGCTTTCTAAATGCAAGTCGTAGTTCTCTTGTCTCATCCAATGTCCAAAGCGCTCATTGAGCTCGCTTCTAATAAACATGAGAATGCGGTCATGATCGACGAATAAGCCACCTTGTCAGCTTTTCGGGACCGTCGAAAAGTCCAAAAATTATGGACCCTTTGAATGGATTCTTTTAAAGTTCTATTAGTGCTCGCTGCCACATTCCCTTAATATCAACAGTACCCGTACGTACCCTTGCACCCTTTGTGCATAGCTAGATCATGAATTACAAGTCATTAAATTGAATTGTGATTTTATGATGGAATAATACAACCCGAGATCTATTTTCGGAATACGAACAAATGGTGACGATCGTCATCACTGATCGGCAGTCAAAACTGATGCTTTAGTCCCCCCGAAGCGCTGAGCACAAGCAATACTCAGGCTTTCGGCATCTGATAATTTGTGCTTGGCATTTGTCAATTTTCTCCAGTAGAGCTGCAGTCAGATCTTTAACCTTGTTCACAAAGAAGTGGCTGTGCGAAAAGAGTATGGTGATTATCATATTAATCTTTTCTGGAGCTTATCCATTTTATTCTACCATATTTCTGGAAACATACTAACGATCAAACTTTAATAGGGCATGAAAATGCCGTCTGACCGAGATTGAAGGGTAAAGTTTAAACCCCTTTTTCGTCCATTCATTGCCAGTAATTTTATGGAGAAAATCCACTTTAAATCAGGGTAGCAACTTAGTTTCTGATTTCGATGATGGATAACAACAGCCATGCCAAGTCTCCAATACGAACAATTTATGGAGTCACGTTGAAGTTGTTCAAGCCTCATTGCGGAATCGTGAGGAAAGGAGAAAGGAGAATTGTTGATGCAATCTTCCGCACCAATCAAATTGAAGAAACTATAAGGAAGTATCCATACTTTCTCCAGATTTAATGGGCTGCGGGCAATCTTAGAGTGTGTTGGCGATTAAGGATGAAGTCATGGCTGAACGATGGATTCTCATAGAATGAAAGGGGAGAATTGGGAGAGATCTGAATATATAAATGTCGAAGAAGTTCTCGATAGTAACCCATCATCAACACATCACATCCATCTTTACATCAAACAACCAAATACTCAAACACCACTTTACAATTTTACGTTAATTAATACCAACTCAAACAATAATCAACATGTTCTCCAAGACTTTCATCGCTACCCTCCTCGCCGGCTCTGCTGCTGCAACTCCCATTATCTCGGCACGTGCTGACAGCAATGCTTTCGGCCTCATCTCCATCAGATCTGGTACCGATCTTCAAAACCAAGCCATCACCGCTTCCGGAGGTCGTCTCTGGATCGGAAAGGACACTTCCTCATACTGCCCTGATACCGTCGTCACCAGCTGCCCTGGTAAGTTTAATTCCACAATATGATTCACGAATGCCCATGATTAACCAATAACAGACGGTACTTCTACAACCTTCGTCTCTGGTGGAAACACTCTCGGTTTGAACACTGAAGTTCCAGGAGGCCAACAAGTTTACCGCGCAACCGATTATTCCGTATCCTTCACCCAAGCTCACTCCGCTGACATCCACGGTGGAGTCGCCTCTGGATGGAATTACACCGCTGGAGAGAACGGTTCCCTCGGGTCTTTGTCTTTCCCTGACTACGGATTCATTGCTTGCGCTGGCGATGTTGCTGGCGTCTACGGCGTCTTCCTTACCCCTGGTGGATCTGGCACTGGAAACTGCACCAGCATCGCTGTCGCTACTGTCCCATACACCGGCGAAGGCCCCTCCGCTTGGGAGTACGCTTAGATCAAGGATGGAGTGGAGGATTAAGGAGAGGAGAGGCGGAGGACATGGAGCACGAAGTTGTGAATATTTTATTTTCTGATCAGTTCTTTGGCGACATTGCAACCTTATTGTATTTAAATATGTATATATCTGCTGATCATTCCTTGTGGCAATGATACATCAAATTGAAAAATAATTTTCGAATATTTCCATTTGCATCAACACCCGAGTCTAAAATGGTATCAATATCAATGCCAAATTAGAAAAAGTTTTTACTTAAAATTATTTTGAGCCTGATCTTCCAAAATTTCTCTCCTTTGTACGAAAAATTATGATGACTTTGGCGAGGTTGTCGCTTATTTCAGCCTAACACTCATTCAACGGATCGCCAAGTAGATGGAACTTGTGCATGGTGTTCAAGTTTATCGCGCCGGTTAAGAAGCCCTTTATCGTTGATTTGTAGCCGGCCCATCTGTCTTTCTTGATTTCCTGTCGAGTGATGAATGGGTGGGTGGGCACTCAGAGGTAAAACTTTACATACTCACTCTCGACATGCTTACAGCTATTGTCATGTATGCTAAACTCATATCTTACACCGTTCCATTTCTTTGGTACACTCGAAATATATGAATTTGACTCTTTAAAAGATTAATCTCAATTTATCCTCATCATCTATTACTAAACAATCACTTTCTTGAATTCTCTCGACTCTTTAAAGAATGTACATGGAATCGAGGCTCATGTCACCTTCCAAGCCATTTGTGGTGGCTCCTTCTGCGATAAGCTTCTCCTTCTTTGCATTTCTGCGTCGAAGCAAGAACCAACATCCACCATAAAGGAAGCCAGCCACAACTGTGAGACCAGCTGAAACTGAATTACCAACAATGTATCGTGGGCCCTGCTGAGTTGGGTATAGCTGAGACGATACCAGCGAGGATGCATTTGCAATTGAGTATGCTATGGGCATTCCAATCGAACGTTTATCATCTGGTGATAAATTTGTGGAAATCCAAGTTACAGCCAACGTAGAAATGGGATAGAGCCCTATAAATCTGTCATTAGCTTCAATATGCAAAAAGAATATGATTATTGCTCACCTAGCACGAGAATGAACATTCCAGCGTAACCAGCTCCATTACTAGGCGTTCCTACGCATATAAGATATCCAACTGCAACCGGGACACAGCATGCCATAATAAAAACCCCTCGCTTCTTGTATTTATCCGAAAAGTATACTTGAATAATGAGGGAAATAAGACCAACAACATAAATAGGAATTGTCATATAATTTGCCGCGAGCGAGTCGTATCTAAATTGGGTTAGCTAAACTCTGGAAGGTTGGTGTACAATCAATTGTGGATACTCACCCAAGACCAGAAAGAATAGTAGGTAAAAAGACGCCAAATCCATTGATAGCCACGGATGAAGTGAAGAAAGCTATACCAAGCAGATAGACAAAAGGGTCTGTGAGAGCAATTTTGATCCATTTGCGGTCAAACTTTTCTTCACCTCTGATTGCAAAGTCCCGAATCTTCTTCAAGCGCATGGTTTCTTTCTCTTCTTCATTCAAGAACCAAGCTGTCTCAACCGAATTTGGAAGGAATATCCAACCGATGCCGCAAATAAGTATTGTGATACAAAACTCGACAATGAATAGCCACCTCCATGCTGCGAGGCCTCTCCGCGTCCCCATAGTCTGAACAGCATATGCAAATAGTCCTCCAAAAGCACCAGATATGCATTGGGCAACATTTGTCGTCATTATACGCTTTCCTGCCAATTCTCTTGGGTAGATAGTAGAGAATAAGAAGGCGAACCCTTGGGCAAGACCAGCTTCGGCAGCATTCAAAATCATACGAACTACGATGGCTTGAGCGTAGGTATGAATGAACGCAGTTCCAAGTGTACAAGCACTCCACAGGACGAATGCAGTGCCGATTGCTTTATTAGCTCCGAACCTTCTCACGGCCAAAACCCAAGGAAGTTCAAAGATTATGGTGCAGACACTCGACAGTGTAGTTATGTTACCAAATTGACCGCCCTTGAGTCCGACGTCCTCGTCAAACCCAAAAGTTCTAGCATTTCCAAGCTATTGAAATTTAGGAAGGATTGAGTTTGAGGATCAACAACACAACTCACATTATTTCGATCCAGAGTGGACAAGACGAGAAATATCACTGAAACCGGGAGAACATATTTGTCGAATTTTCTGAGTGCGGCTGCTTCTTTTTTTGGGTCGATTTCTACGATTGTGCCTGTCATCTCAGAGACACAGGTGCCGCCGTCGACTTGATGTTTGACGTCACTGTCGATGTTTGCCTTGAGAGAATCTGTCTTCGCCATTGTTGGGCTGGGCTCCATTGAGGAGGTCGTGTGAATACTCGGATAATAATTTCACAATCCAATTAAAAAATGCTGCGATGTCACGAGACAAGTAATGAACTTCATCAACTTAGTTGTCTTTATATACATATGTATATATTTCATGGAATCCCATTAAGATCTTCCATCCCTCACATTTTGAAGTTTGGTATCTCATTCATCGAACATCAACAATCAAATCAATCTCAAAATACCATGATAACATTGATAAGAGGTTACTTATCGAGTATCTTATGATAAACCGATAAGGATGATGGTTTTATCCGTGCAGCCAATGGTACTTGTTACGGCGGGGTAACCCAATCACTGCACTCCAGATATTAACATTGTACTAGAACTGCTAGATTTGTTGTGCATTTTCAACAATGGGGGTGATTGGTCTCGATTCAGAACAGATCGGATTGCTCCGAAAATTCATCGCGACTCTAGTTTATCTACACAACCTCCGCACCAAATATCTTTACATCCAACTTCTACATGACCCCCCTTAACTATCAGAATACAAATCATCAATCATCAAAATCTCCACCTTTGTCTCAGAATCAAATCCCAAAAATAGGGTAGATACTCAATGCAAGCATCATCGCGCCCCACTCAAAGGCTCGCCAAAGGAGTGACCGCATGTCAGAGGTGAGTCGGAATGGTTACAAGTGCAAAGATAGCATAGCAAAGCGAGAATTCAGTGCTGACCTGCATAGATGTCGTCGGAGAAAGCAGAAAGTAATTATCAAATTCATTCCAGTCCGATCTTCTTGCTGATATCGGAGTAAATGTACAGTGTGATTTGAAGAGTCCGAATTGCTCCAATTGCGAAAGTGCACGCAGCCCATGTCTAACCTATCACTCAGGCAAACAAACCGAGGTGAGCTAATAATGTCAATCCAAAATTTCTTCGTCGTGTCGTTAATCTCTAAACTTTATCAAGATACCACGCAACTATGTTGCGAATCTAGAGGCCCAGTTGGAGAGCACAACTCGAGAAAATCGAGAGCTACGAAAGCAAAACGAAGAATTGCGCATGCAAATCGGAAACAGTTCTTCAATTAGTACCGAAAGTCCCGCTCCTATCGAGCCACGTTCCCCGACAAGAAATGATCTTGGTATTCTTCCCACAGCAAGTTCAGTAACGTCGAACGCAAGCACAAATCATTTTCAAAATTTAGTCAAAAGTGTGAAAAGCGTCGTTGTTGAACCCTCAAGACAACCGCGCTTTCTAGGACAAAGCAGTGGGATAACGCTAGCCAGAATGGTGATGGCGGCAATTCGCATCGACTCCCTCCCTTCTTCTCTGTCCTCCAAGCAAAATTCTTATGATCCATTCTCATCTGTACCAACAGCCGAGGCTTCTCTTCCCCCACGCCACGCTGCCGATCATTTGGTCGGAGTCTATTTCCAATATCGTACTCCTCATATGCCTATTGTAAATCGGGCACAAGTTGAGAAAGCTGTCGAGGGTGCATATCGCTCCAGGGATGATCCTCAATCTTTAGATCAAATAGCTGAGAATGACACCTTCATGGCTTACATGATCTTCGCCATTGCCCTTTGTGATGTTCCCAATCCATCCGGAGGTCGCCCATCTCAAAGCGAGGGTTGCTTCCGGTCAGCAATTGGGTCAATCGAGAAGATCATTGCTTATTCGAAGAATGATCTTGAGACACTTCGCGCCATATTATTACTAGCTCAATTTGTTTCTCTTTGCCCTTCGCATGGAAGCTTGTGGCATTTAACAGGGTTTGCACTACGATTATGTATCGACATAGGCTTACATTGGGAGAACGAGGAACAGTCCTCAACGATGGATCCGGATTTGTTACACGAACGCCGGCGCCTTTGGTATTCTACTTACCAATTTGATCGTGTCCTATGTATAACGCTCGGTCGGCCCTTGGGCATCATTGACGAGAGTACGAATGTGCCCCTTCCGAATCCATGGAATGTTTCACGAGGCTCTCTCACCCGCGATCTCTACGATTTCGATATTCACACTCAACGAGCCCATAACCACATGTTCAATATGTCAAAACTTGAGTCCGAGATCAAGCATGTGCTTCACACCCAAGCCTGGACTCCTAAAATATCTTCTCCTAGAATTGACTATTCAACTTGGGTCCAGGATATTCAACCTCGTCTACAGCAATGGTATAATGCCATTCCACGACTTAGTCAAGCTCACCCCGCGTCTATATTCGCTCACCAGGCATACTGGGATGTGATTTATAATAATGCAATCCTTCTGTTGTATAGGCCTGCATCCATAGTTATACAGGTTTCAAGTGATGAACTGGTCATTTCATTTGAAGCCTCCTGTAAACTGATCGCAAGTATCAAAATCTTGCAGCGAGACGGGAAAATCGATGTACTATGGAAATCAGTACATCATCTCTTCATGGCTGGTCTCGGAGTTATATATGGACTCTGGCACTCGAAAGAAATACGCAATCGAAATTCAGTAAGCAAGAACATTTCGACACTTCAGTCCTGTGCTTCCACACTCTCCGCCATGTCAGAAAATTTTCCTGGTGCAGCAGGCTGTCGTGATGTGTTTGATACCCTCTCTTCAACAACGGTCGATTTCTTAGTGGCCAACAACGCCGAAGACGTGTATCAAAATCGCATTGAATTTGAAAAACAAATGAAAAATTTGGTGCAACAACTACAACCGTCTTCTCGAGGTATCGCTAATACGAATGATATCAGCGGCGACAATACCTCCACGCTATTATCGGCGGACAACTTTGCCTTCAGTGAGATGCTCAGCTTTGCTGCGCAGTGGCCCGATCTGCAGGATGTGGACTTCGGAGATATAGTACTTGACCCTATGATGGGGACGTAAATTGACGCAAGATGTTGTAATTTTTTCTGTTAATTTGGTATTCAGACCCAGGTCACACATCGAACGACTATTTCATGTTTAAAAACTGAATTTCGCCAATGTGCTTATTATTTCATGCCTTCTCGGGCTCTAAATATCTGTGAAGTAATTGATTACTAGTCAATTCTGCTCATATCAACTCGACAGTAGTGTGATTTCATTATGGTATGTATGCAAGTGGTTATATTGGTTGTTTATGTCTCCTAAATGTAGAGCCACAAAGGCTAAATGTGATAAAACTTATGAGCTAGTTTGAAATTGTGTTTGTACTCATTCGAGAAACAATAAATTTTGATTCGCGGACATGGATCAATTCAATGTCATTATTGAGGTTCGGTATCTTTGACGATTTCTATTTCGAAGGGACATAGTGAATCAGTATTGCGGTGTGGTCATTGAGACGGGTCGATTTAATTAATACCAAATGGCACAATCGAGAGTGTGGGCTGAAGTACGAAATTAGTAGGTGATTGAAATGAGACTAGAGATTTTCTTCTTGCAATCAATTCGATATTAAGGGACTTCACTGAACTTGGATGTTTGGAATTCTACAAGGAAACGGCGTGGTATGAACAATCAGAATACACTAGTGACTGCGATAATCCCCCATTGCCCTCAGTCGCTCGAAAGCAAAGTTTAACAACTAAAATTCTTGTTTTGCAATATTCACAGTAAATAGTAATCGGAGATCTCTTGCTTCTCACAGGTGAACATTTAAATTGTATTAGTTACAAGAAGAAAAAACTCTATTTTTCACCCCGTGATTTTTGCGCCATAGATGCTGGTCCATTCTCAACAACGACTTCATAAGGAAAAGGTTCCTTAATCAGACGATGACCAGCAAGTCCAATCTGCCATCTCTTATATCCTTCACGGGGTATCTCGGTGGAAGTCCACATGCCATTTTTCCGGAAAGAGTTCGTTACACTAACAACAGAATCGATAGGTGCCGAAGGAAAGAGCTCAGAGAGTTCATCTTTGAACGTCTCTGCATCATGCTCGAGTACCCAATCAATACCTTTAGCTAGACCAATACAGAAGCGCTTTTGTGCATCAAGAACCTCTGGCGTAATTCCCTCAGTCTCCCGGTAATACACGCTCCAAGGAACATCTTCCTGGGATACCATTTCCATCGCGATGGAGATATTCTTGTTTTGTTCAACCATAATCCGCGCCGAAAGATTGTCTGTTATGAAATAATCACCCATACCACCCTGGAATAAATTGCCCAGCATTATACCATCAAGATCTTGAATATAGTCAAGAGAATTATGATCGATATTGTTTTCGCGCAATAGCATCTTGAAGAAAAGACCGACGCTAGCTCCACCGCCGGATTTCATCAGAACTGTACTCCCAACCATATCAGATAATTTAAATCCTTCGTCATGGCCACGTCTGAGCACGGCTAAGGGACATCGATTTGCTATCTGTGCGAATACAGTGTAGTTCTTAACTCTGTCGCGGTACATTGATGGCACCCAGATGCCACCAAGAGCCATGTCGGCGGTGCCATCAGCGAGAGCGTCAAGGACACCATCCCAAGGCGTAGGTATGTTTACAGTGACATCAAGTCCTTGCTCCTTAAAGAAACCGTGTCGTAGGGCAATATACTCAGGGAGATAATTGAGATTATAACCAGTGGCAGTAAGATGAAAAGGTTGCATGATGTGTTGCGTTGAGGTCCAAGGGGTTTCGATTTTTTCGAAATATTTTTATCCAGGAATGGAATTTAATACTTTCAGTGTCGATAAGAAGTTAAAATAAGACATGGTTTTATAGAATACTTGTCCAATCTTTTAAATATCTTCATTTCTTCGGCAACTCTATCAATTACATAAAATCGAATACATCTCCCTGTGCTAGCTTCCAGTATCGGAAGAATGCGATCTTAGGAGAGGTCATTCTTATCGCTTATCGAAGGATCGACATCGGAGAATCACGTTCGGAAATTGCGTTCGGAGAATCCCTACAACACCATTGTCATCCAAGCGACTTGCTGAGCCTAAGTGCCGAAAATCTTCCAAATATGTATCTGATAATTCCGAAAAGCTAATATTCATGATATTATCAGGAAGATAAGCGAGGATTAAGGGGATTAAAATATTATGATCGAACGCCGAGATAAATATGTCAAAGTTGATCAGCAACCGCATCTTGGATCTTGATATAGCTATCGCATTTTCACGAATCTAACCAACTCCGTTCCATCCAGAGTCGAAAATATCATAACTAGAAAATCTTTCAAAAACTATGACCTTCCCGCCATACGATGACAAGACGCCTTTAGATGTCAAAAATGCCACAGTAAGTTGACTTTCTTCTCAAGCGTAATCGCGCAAGTAACGAAGCAAAAATAGGGTCTCCATCTTGTCACAGAGAACACACCCAATGGCCAGAAAGTACAAATATTGCTTGAAGAACTAGCGGATGTATATGGTACAGAATGGACGACTACTTTACTGTTAGCGCCTCAATTATTTCCAAGAATTGTGATGAAATACAACCACTAATCCTCTCAAATTAGAGATACATCGACGAATGAGCAAAAGAAAGATTGGTTTCTTCGCCTGAATCCAAACGGTAAATACAATCCTAATATCAGATCTCAAGCTACTAACACCGTGGATCAGGTCGAATACCAATAATCATTGACAATACTCAGTCGCCACCATTTCCATTGATGGAGACTTCCGCCGAGCTGCTGTACCTTTTGAGGTTAGATAAGGACCACCAATTTGGGCTCACCGATGAACTCGAGCAAAGCGAACTCTTGCAGTGGTTATTCTTCTGGCATGGAAGCGGTGCTCCGTATCAAGGAAATTTTAGATTTTTCAGCCGCGCAGAAGAGCAAAGTAGCTGTAAGTAGCCACGCACATATTCTCTATTGCATGAAATGATTCCAATGAGTCTAAAAAATGAGGTACTGACTAATTAGTTGCCATTAATCGGTTTCGAAAGGAAACTTATCGAGTATATGGAGTTCTTGAACTACAGCTCTCAGGAAAGTACACCGGGCAACCAAAAGAATTCCTTGCAGGAAAGGATAAAGGAAAATACTCGATAGCTGATATTGGGACTTGGGCATGGGTGAAAAATTGGCCAGGAAGTGGATTTACGGAGAAAGAGATGAAAGAATTTCCATCTCTACTTGAATGGATTGAGAGAATTGCAGAGAGACCTGCTGTTAAACGAGGAATTGGCGAGAAATATGTCATTCCACAATAATGATATCATCTGAATTGTGGATTTAAATTTGCGAAATTTCTTAATCAACTATTATCTGGTCTATGGACCGCTCTTCTAGCTACTGTTCTTGAATTCCCTTTCCTTATTTCTCTCGGCGTTACTAGTCAGAAAATACATAGCTAAAGAGAAAGAGAGAGGGTGAGAGTGAACTGTTGTATCTATATGTTCTGTGAATCGACTTGCAATCATTCACCTCCAACTTTTACTCGTTCGTAAGATGTGAAGGACTCTTTTGTAGCTGACAAATTCGAAAATTGTGGAGTTTAAAGAGAGCAAGGTGTTGTTCTTCTGCGCGAATCAAAGGGCATTTGACGGTTAATACTTCGATGCTATCATTCGGTGGCAGAATTTCAATGAAAATTCAGTTGTTAAAGTACTTCAACGACAAGCCGCAAACTAATTAAGCGACCTTCAATTGATATATCTCTATGATTTGCAGTGTGAATAGGGTATGTAAGGTGAATGAATAATAGAAGCTGTATTTGAACAATTGCATTTCGTTGAGAAGATTCATCACTCAGCTGAACCAACTGAGGGCGAGGCAAGTAGTTGTTTTGCTTAATTCAGCAGAAGTAGGGATAGCATCAATTATCATCTTCTAATAATTTACTAAACCCTTCCTGTCTCCATACAAGCTTCCAAATCTAAACAATGTCCTTTGATTACCATGATTCAAGTCCTTCTATGCTGCAACCAAATCGTACCTGCCAGCCAGATTCCTTAGTCTTTGGTAAAGTATCCAGAATGATTGCTTTTTCTAGAACTTTCCTCTTCTATGCCCATTCCGATCCTGTTCGTCCCAATCCGCTTTCGATTTGCCATGCGAAGAGATTAACTTTCTCCCGCGCTAAGAGACAAAGGTTGTCGAATGCGATTCCGCAATTTGTCGATTCGGAAGAAGTCAAGTCTCAGGCGTCCTTCAAAACGTTAGATGTTTGTTCTAACATAGATGGAGGAGTGATTGAGAGAGGTTGAAATATCCAATCGCTGCCACGTAGGAATCGAGAAGGCAAGGTGCGGTCTATCTCGGCGAAGGTGTAGGGCTCTAAAATTCTTCCTTCAGAAAGCTTTTGCTTTATGGCGTCTGAAACTGGGATGAACGTATTGTCGGCCATATTTGATAATTTTCAATATTGCGTTCGACACATGAAGAATACAATGATTCGAAATTCATATGTCGATCACAAAAGGGAAATATGGCTTCTGGGATACAAGCGAGCGCCCATAGGGCTAATTACAGTCAAAATTAAAATTAACAAACGCTTTGAGTGATTCACTTGGCTACGAGAGGACGTTTCTATACAGGATATCCTGCATTTTTTCGTCATTGACGTAATGAAATTATACAGGAAAACCAGTGAAAGACTCGAGATTGAGTCAATTAATGCGACTTAATTTTTTAGATCCACTTATGTTAGTTTTAATCAATCCTGTGAGTCTATGAAGATTAATCTTATGATAACAAGGATAAATATCAAAAATCACTCTGTCATGGGTTGGAACTCATTATTGTGCTGCCAAAGTCTGTCGAGAGAGTTTGGAAGTTGTTCCCTTGACTGGAGATGATCAAAAGTGAGTTGGGATGTGAAATCACGTAACAGAAAGAAACATAAAACTGACGTGGTGGATAACAGTTCACATCATTTAAAATAATAGCAGACCAAGTTCGTTGCGTATACATTTACTCAGATTCTGTCTATTTTTCCATATGTTTTCTTCAATCGAATCTTCACTTCCTGTATTTTACCAGGGCAAGCTTATACAATTAGCTATCCTGCTTTATTATTCATGAATGACAAATCTTTATATAGCCTTCTTAATATAATTACGATTGTTTAATTGCATTCTCAGCAACTATAGTTGTTCTCGACTTTGTTCTCTTCGACTTAATTTAATGATTTAAATCCTTAAAGTTGTTCTTCCCGGGCTGAGATCTCAAGATGAGAAGGCAGAAAAAATCACTCGGATGACTGTAGTCAATTTCGTAAAAAGGGGGAAAAGAATTGATTAAAACAAGAACTCTATTCGAATTTGGAAATTCTTTAAATCTCATTTGTTGATGTGGAAGTCTAAAAATTCTCAGAATTTCCAGGGTGTAAAGGCGGTATAGATGTTTCACAATGGCGATAGTAATAAATTTATAATCAATTATTTAATAATAAATTATTGTAAACCTAATAAATGAAATATTTCGATAAAACTTTATAACCTTCAATAGATTTTGTATTTTTTTAACAAAAGTTGTAAAGTTTTTTATAAAAATATTATATGATATATTTATATTGAAATATTTCATTATAAATTAACAAATCATTAATAAATCATTAAACCCTAAACCCTAAACCCTAAACCCTCAAAATGAAATCAATGATTGAAATATTTAGAAAAAAGTTTATAACTTTTATTAGGTTTTATATTTCTTTAAAAAAAAGTCAAAATCTTTTTTCTATAAATAATGTATAATAGAGAATCAAAAGATAAAGATATATATAACGTAACTTGACTAGAAGTGGGTTATATTATAATATAGGTTACAAAAATCATATTTTTCTATTTGATCTTATTCTATATACTGTAGGGTAATCTATAACTATCATTAATTCAATTGAATTATTATTATCCTTTTCTTCTTTTATCTCTTTTTCTATTTAATCAATTTGATACTTAAATAATCTATTATATTATTGTTTAGGTAAAAGTATTTATTCAGTTTTCTTAATAATTTTTAATACTTCTTTAATACTAAATACAAATTCATTTTTTAATTTTATTCTCTTTTTATTTTTTTATTTCTTTTATATTTCAAACAATTCTTTATATTCTTGAAGTTCCTTTTAAAGAATAATATTTTCAATATTTAAACTTTTAATTTGATAGGTAATTCGCTTTGTATATTTTTGTATTGAAGAAGTAGATAGATTATTAGTAAATAAAGCTAAATTGAATATCTTATTTATTTATTATAATTTAATATTATTTAAAGAAAAGTTATTAAATAAAAAAAGATCTAAATCTTCTGGATTTGCTAATATATTTGAAATAGAAGGTGATAGTAAAAATAGAGTTAAAAGATTATTTAGAATTTGATAAAAACTAAATGAATTCAAACCTGCTTTTTTCTATTCGTTTTTGATATTTTGATAGATAAAATCTTTTCTTTTTATTTTTTGAAAAAGCTATATCTAATCAAATTGTTATATTTATTATATTTCTGTTTAAAAATATTAATTAATCTTTGAATATAATATTGCTTTATTAATCTATATATTCTAATATTTAATAATTAAAGTAAATATAAGTAATGAGGTGGTAGAATCAAAAAATCAATTTTCTTTTCAATACAAAAAGTAATCAAACTTTTTATAATATAATTAGAATAATTATTTATAATTAATAATCGAGGCTAATCTTTTGATATTTTTTGAGATTCTGGTTTAAAAACCTTATGTATTTATTCAAAGCTATAATTATTAGAAATCCATTTATTATTATTTATTGAGAAATACTAATTTGAAAGAATATTAGTTGGAATCTATATAATGTTAATATTTTGAATCTTGAAAATGATTATAGGGGGTAAAAAGCCTTTATTCGTATTAATATATTCCGATATAGTTATTTATTCTTATTTTCTTATTATAATCTTTTAATTCGATTTGAAAGTAGAATTTACAATTATATATATTGATTTTGTTTCTTCAATTGTATATTCTATTTTATTTATATTATATATATTCTTGAGTTTATAATATTGTTTTTTGATTTATATTTGAAATATTAAATATTATGCTGAAATTGTTTCAAATTTAGCTTCTTTATGCTTTACAGATTCCAATTTATGAGAATAGGTTTTTTTAAGTTTAGAATATTGATTTAAGAATCTATAGATTTATTATTAATTTATATAATTTGATTGAAAAAATAGAAAAGTAAATAATAACACGAAAATAATATATTGATTTAGAATTTCTTGAGCTATTTCTTTTAATAACCTAGGAGTTATAAAATATCTAGTAACTATTAATTATAAAATCCATTGTATTAGAGTTTTCTTTTTTACATTAGATAGTTTTTGAAAGGATTTATAAGATTAAAAATGTAGTTGTTATCTAGTCATTCAATTTATTAAAATTGATTTTGGAATCTTAAAATGAATAATAATACTTCGAATTGAAATAAACTATTTATTTTTTAGACTTTCTATAACCTTTTGAATATTATCTTCCGATTTATTATAATTTGATAACTTTTGATCTATTATATATTGTAGGTTTTAAATGTCTATGTTGTATTCTGTCTAAAGAGCTAGCTATGTACAGGAAGTAGTAGGTCTTATATAGACCTACTGAAAGAGCTAGTCTCTTTCGCTTTCGCTTAGGGCTTGTAATACAGTAGCTGATGAATTGAAGCTATTCACTATATGATCAACGTTCATACACTAATGACTTGTAATAACCCAAAATTGTGACATTTGATATTAAAACAAGTTTAGTCAATTATCTTTCGGTGATCTCATAAAATAATACTATAAGCTTGGTTGATTTAGGTAAACTCAGGACTCAGTTTTCGTGCTCATAAATGGGCCATAAGCTTTCATTTTAAACAAAGGCACATTTCTAGGGTCAAACTATTTTTGTTTGGATTGATCTTTGAATATCACTTTGTCCAATGATTATCATTACGCGTCCACATCAGATGGTGCAGATTTATTTTCAAGACGGCTGACTTCGTTTCCCTATCAAGCTTAATATTAAAATCTGCAGCCTCCCCGCATAGCTCATGTGCGGGGATAGTGCGGGTGGAGATGCGGGGATGCGGGGAGCGGTGAAGATGTCGGCCTGATAATATCAGACTCATCGGCAATACCTTTTTGTATAGCTTTCGTAACCCTACCACCTTAATAAGTATTATGTGCTGCTTCCCCACCTTATTTTGATGAAGCCGCGAGTATTTTAGCGATGCTTGAGTACAGTGTGACGTGTTCTCCCCATAAATTTAGAATGTACGTGGTCATGCTCCTCGAAGAAGCGAAAACACAAGGGAAATTGCGGGAAGGAAGAACTTACTTGTATAAAGAGCGATGTTCATATTTGAACGGCATGCTTTATGTCTTCTGATGTGTAACACTTTCCGACAATATGATTCTCATCTCTCAACTGCTAATCCTTCCCTCACTGGCTTCGAGCTTATTGGTCAGAACTGCTCCTCAGAGTAGACCACCAACAGTCACAGTGAAGAATGGAACCTACGTCGGCTTCAATGATCCCACGCTCAATACAGACAATTTTTACGGCGTGGCCTATGCTAAGCCCCCGATTGGCGACCGAAGGTTCCGACCTCCTCAGTCTCTGGACTCCCCCTGGTCAGAAGATCGTGAAGTGGTTGAATATCCCAAAGAATGCATTACGCCAGGTTGGTTCTTCAACAATACTTTAACAGGAAGATATTAAAGTGTGTCTTCATAGCAAATAACACTTCAACCGAAAAAAGTGTGAACGTAGGTTATATGTATTCCAATTATATCTTAGTCACCTCTAATCATGAGCTTCTATATTAGATGTCGGAGGATTGCCTTTATATGACGATTATTCGTCCATCTAATGTGACTCAAAAAAATCTTCCTGTTCTGGTAAGTTATCTTCGCTTCTCCTCCGCTTTGTTTCAGTGCACCTTCTAATGCCACTCAGGTGTACTTAGACCAGGGCGGATTCCTCAATGGGGGCGCTGGCTGGTTTCAGACTTTCAACCAAACCTGGATTGTTCAGCGTTCATCAAATATTGGTTCCCCCATTCTGGGCGTGTCGGTGAATTCACGTCTCGGACCATGGGGTTTCATGTACAGTCAGGAAATCCAGGATACACTGAACACCAATCTGGGCTTACGGGATATGCGTATGGCATTGGTCTGGATCCAAGAAAACATCGCAGCATTCGGAGGGGATCCTTCACGGGTAACCATTCAGGGACAGAGCACTGGTGCTCAGTCTGTTGGACTCCAACTTCTCGCATATGGCGGCCAACATGATAACCTCTTTAGCGGTGCCATCTCCGAAAGTGGCGCTCCGGTATGGTATGCACCTACCGCGAGCGTCGACCTGTGGCAGCCCACCTACAACGGTTTTGTCAAGGCAGCAGGCTGCACATCTGCGAATGACAGCCTAGCTTGCCTTCGACAGGTTTCTAACGCAACTCTCGTAAATGTATTCGCTAACCAGACCTTAAATCCATTCGGAGCCAACGCTCCCCGAGAGTACATGTTTGCTGTTGACGGGGACTTCATTCCGGAGCCTAATAGCGTTCTACTGCAAGCTGGGAAGTTTGCCAAGGTTCCATATCTTATAGGAACCAACTTCGATGAAGGCACAACTGTGGGATCAAAGGGGGTCAACAATACAGCCGATCTCAACACCTACCTGATCAAAGAAATGCTCACTCTCGACAATTTCAGTCTTTCAACCATAGGATACCTCTACCCCGATATCCCTGAGATTGGTATTCCTGCAACGTATGAAGGACGTCCTCCAGCGACACCATCTCTCGGTGCGCAGTATAAGCGAGCCAGTGCTGTAGGATCCGATATTATTATGGATGGCCCCACGCGGCTCACTACCCTCGCCATGGCCTCCTTCAACTCGACTGTATATCGATATCACTTTAACGTAGTGCCGAACGGCTTCACCAACGCCCAGGGCGCGACGCATGCCGCCGAGGTGCCTCTGACGTTCTACAATCTCCCTGGCAACGGATACACTACGAATCCACTGGGAGGGCCAAATTCCGAGAAGCTCATAGCGATGGCTGATATTATGACCGCAATGTGGATAGGCTTTGTTACAAATGGGGATCCCAATTCGGTCATCAGAGCTCTCGACCCCAGCGTCCCGATATGGCCACGGTATACACTGCCCAGTCCTCGGAACTTCGTCTTCACCATCAACGAGTCTCTGTACACGGAACCGGACACCTACCGTGCTGCAGGCATCAACTGGATTATGGATATGATGATAGCATCTAAGAACCGCAACTGTACTAGCATCGTAGCGTGTGGAGGCGGCTATAATATCACAAACGGTGAGACTGGAGGTGTATATCAATACTAGCCGAGAGAAAGTCATTACTACTTTTATTCTGAGAAACTAGATAGTACTTTATATATAGATCTATGAGGTAATAGTCTGTTTTTTTCTTAAAATATGAATAATCTAGTTCGAAGTTTTGTCATTCGAATATAATATCTATTAAAAAGATAGGCTTTAATCGAATATAGAAAATTTTATACTTATTTTAGGAAATTATATTTTTTATATTATTTGAATCTATAGTAAGAATCCCGAATGTTATTATTTTATATATTAATACCTCAAATATTAGATTTATAATTAAAATAAAAAAGCTAAAGAGGAAAGAGATTCTTAATGAATCTTTTTATTTCTTATATAATTAATAATTGTTTTAAATTAAGTTTATCTTGAATTAAATTTAAATAAGTTATTATTATATTATAAAATATTTGTTATATATATTCTCTTTTTATAAAAATAATTAATTTTTTAAAAAGAAATTTAAAAAATAATTTTTGTAATAAAGATAGTATTCTCAATTGTATATTAATATTTTTAGAACTTTTTTATAGAAAATATTTCATTATTGAGGATTTAGAAAATATTTTTTTTCTAAGTCATTTTTATATTTTATTCTAGAAATTAAAGTATATTCTATAAAGACTTTATTTATATATAAGATTAAACTTATTTTATTTATTAATAAGTTATTATTAAAATAATAGTTTTTAGTAAGTTTTTTATAATTAATTTAAAACTATTTTTTTTTCAAATTATTAAATTGAAATTTTCTTATACTTTATTGAAAGTTATATTGATAATTTTATATTATAAATATTCTTCTAAAAAAATATTTAATTATTTTCAAAAATAATTTCAAAGTAGTTTTTCAAATTAAATTATTCTATTTTTATAAGGAAATATTTTTCTAAATAATTTATTTTGAGAATAAATAAAGACTTTAAATTATTTTATATTAAGTGAATTTTTTCTATATGTAAATTATTAATTAAGAATCACAAATATAATATCTTTTCAATAGTTTTTAATTTAAAATATTATACTTGAAAATTTTAAAATAAAATATGTTTTGAATATAAAAGATACAAAAATTTATTTTTAAATTTTTATTATTAAATAAATTAAATTAAATTCGAATATAAATAATCTTTTATTAAGTAAATTATTATAAATAAATTTTTATTAAAGAGGTTTAGACATAACATCTTTTAAATAAATATTATTAAAAAGTATTATTACTAAAGACTTTAAAAATAATTCATTTCCTTATAATATTTTTATTCTTTTTTATAAGAATTAAAATTATCATTTTAATCATTATCAAGAATAAATTAATTTTATTAATTTTAAAGATTTTTTTTTTATTTAGAAATAATTTATTACTAAGAAAATATTCCTTTTAAATTTAAAATATATTATATTATAGAATTATATAATAATAAAAAAGTATTATAAAAATATTAATGATTCAGTTAAACTATTTATATTTCAAAAACAAAAAATATTATTTTAAAATAATATTATGAAATTAGTTAAAAATATAGTTATAATAATATTATTCTTTAAATAAAAATGTTATTTATTATATAAACTTTGAAACAAAATAACTAGTTTATAAATTTATAAATAAATTCTTTAAAAACAAAATATTTGAAAAATAATATTTTGAAAATGCTTATTTATATATATATATATATTCAAGAAAAAACTTATATTTCTAAAAAAAAGATTTCTATAAGAAATAAAATTTATTATTTTATTGATATTATTTTAATATATATTATTTCATATAATAGAATTATAGAAGATTTATGAAATCGAAATTATAATTTTGAAATAATTCATATTTATTTAAATTTGTTTTTTTTTTTACAAAAGTTTTAAAAATTCTCTTTTTTTTCTATTTCTTTAAATAATATATTTATAAATAAAACCTTGAAATTACTTATTTTTAGAAAATTAATAATTAATTTATTTTCGAATTATCTTTAAAACTAATATAACATATAGGGAACTTGAATATATAAGGAATTTGAATACTTTTAATCTATTACTAACTTAAAACCATAATAACTTTTATTATATACGGTAAAAACCCCGAATATCATCATTTCATATATTAATATCTCAAATGTTAGGTTTATAATTAAAGTAACCTCAACTAGCATTTTATAACGCTTATTAATCTTTCAATTTAATATAAAACCTTTCAGGAATTAATGAAATAAAAGAAAAAAAGATGTAATTATTAATTGAAGCTTAAGAAATTCAATAAACTAATTTATTTTGAATTATCTCGAAAATTAAAATTAAAGTTTAATTTAGTAGTTTTCTAGATAGTTTTATTACAGTAATCAAGCTTTAGCGCTAATTGTCACGAATCGCATTCAATCGCAATACAATTGCTCATATACACGTACATACATATACACAATTATATATATATAGCTAGTATATAAGAGCATTTTATAAACACTTTACTCTCAATTCTATAATTATAAATTCTAAGAATAAATTATACTCTACTCTTATAATTCTTTTAAAATAAAATATTATATTATCTATAACTTACTATACAATTGTATAGCCATCTAATAGCCAATCAAATAATACCTTATAACTTAATACCTTTTTAAATGAATTATATAAATTCAATATTATTTATAGAAAGAAAATCTATTTCAACTAATTTTTAATAAAAATAATTTATTAATAAATATATAAATTATAAGTATTATTATTATATCTATATTTATTAATCCTAATATTAATCTATTTATATTAATATTTGGCATATAATAATCCCTAGTTGGTTTATTTGCTTAATTTAATTGAAAGTAGACTTATATAAGTAATAATAATATTATCTTTAGATTTAATATTAATCTTAATAGAAAAAGAAAGAATAAAAAAAAGAAAATTATTTATTAATCTTGAAATAATATTATTCAAATTAATATTCAAATATAATTAATTATAAATTAAATATAAATATTTAAGTTTTTATAGAAGCAAGTTATTAAATTATAAATATAAATTAATAATATTTAAAGTATTATTAATCTATTTTATATTATTTTTTAATAATTTTACATATTTTTTTTTAAAAAGAGTAAAATTCGAATTCTTGATATTTCTATAAGATTTATTAAGTAAAATACTTTTATATTTAAAAAAAAGAAAAATTGTTTTTAAGGATATATTTTAAAATAATCTCATTTTTATTTAAAAAAAAGTATTTATTCATTAGTAGTTATATTTAATTGTGATTTATTATTTTATTAAACATTTCATTTTTGTTTTAATACTATCCTTATAGAAAAACTATATATTCTGAAATCTATTAATTTTTTATTAAAATTTAAAAATAATATAAAATTAAAAGTAGATTTATAATAGCTATTAGTTATAGAATAATTAGAGTTATATGTAATATTGTTTATTTCAGAATTATAATATTAATTTTATATAGTAGATTAAATGAAAGGAGAAGTTTAATAATATCTATATTTTTTGTATACCTAAATCCCTCTTTTGATAGAACTACAATTAATTAATGAGCTTATAGCAATTTATAAGAATTCTATTAAAGTTGATTATATATAAACTAAATATAAACATTAAATTATGTTTAATAATATCCAAAAAAATAACTTTATATTATAATATCAAAAATTCCAATTGTTTACTATATAAATAGAAATCACTAATAATAAGATTCTTTTTTATAATTTAAAAAGAAAAATATCCGATTTCCTCCAACGAATTATTAATCTCCATATCAAAGATTGTATTACTATCAAAAACCTTATTAGTAAATTTATGGAAATTAATAAACTCGAAGTTATTATTTGAGAATATAATCATTACAAATAAATTAAAGAAATTTCAAATAAAAAAGTTACTAATAATATTTTTATATAAAATATATCTAAAAGCACTTTCCATATATATAACAATTCTACCCCATCTCCTTAGTCTTATTTCCAAAATCCCTTTTGTATTTCAAATAGTTATATAGAAATTTTTAGACTAAATATTACTCTATTTCCAGAAAACAATTTCAATTATAATACTATATCTCTCTTATTAGAAGTTAATTATAATTCGATTCTATATATAGGCAACTTTAATACTATGACCGAAATTAAAGAAATTGGAGAGAATAAAAATTCCTATAATACCAAGAAGGGTTTGAATCTAAAAGTGTAAATAAAAGTTATTAAATCTACTTGTAATATCAAAAATCAATATTTAAATTAATATATTTAAATAGAAATTCCCTTCTAAGTATAATTTAGAATATAAGATTTCTTGATTTAATAAAATTAATAGGAGATAATTTTATAAGCTTATCCTATATACTTTTGAAGAATAAATATTTATTCTAAATTCAATCTTTTATAAACTCTAAAGCAAATAATTTTGCTTTTATTAATAAGATATTTCTTACATTATTATTTTCTATATTTAAATCTTATTATTTATTATTTAATTCCTTTATTGAAATTAAAAACTATAATAGTACAAAAAGTAAAATAATTACTTATTATATATTTTTTAATTTTATTATTAATATTTGATAATAATCCTATTTATTATTTTTTATTACTGATTTAGGATTATACAATATAATCTTAAACTGTATATAGCTAGTAGAGACTCGAATTAAAGTAAATTGTTTTAATTGAAATTTTGATTAATCTATAGAGTATTTTTTTATTATTTTATTATTAAAAAATATATTTTTAATTAAGAATAACTTTTAAAACTATAGAATTAATTATTTGAAGTAGAAAGATATAAATAATCAGAATGTCCAATTGAATTAGATATATTATTAATTAGATAATAAATAATAGAATATAATAATAATTATATTAGAAATATTTATTACATTTCCAAAAAAGATTAATATAATAAAAATAATATTTATTAAAGTTTAGATTTCAATTAATTTAAAAAAGAAATCTATTTTTAATTAAATATTTATTTGAGTAGTGTACAAATTTTTTTCT